CCCCACTAAAGGTTTTAAAGGACAAAAATCCTAATAAAAATGTTACAAAATCTATAATACAAAGTCACAAAACCCACAGAGGTTTTGCAAAGAAAGCTCTTAGCCAACAGCAAATTAAGTGAGATGCTGTCACTTTCCATACCTCTGCAGTCAGGAGTCTGTCTGGACACTGGTTAACTGCAGCAAAAACTCTCCTAAGTCCCATTTCTAGCTGTGTTAACAACAGTATGGCACAATCGGCAAACCTGCAACATTGAAGGCAATCAGCTTAAAACATACATCTATAATACAATTAGCATAAATCATGGTGACTCTGGTCCAGACATGACCAGGGTGGTATTAAAAGTAAAAAAGTGCTACTATAGTCATCCTGAGCTACACTGCAGTTCACTGATTGTGGCTTCACTGTATCAGGGTTGTCTGTTTTTTAGTATGCAGTGACCTGTCACTCATCAGGGGAGTTATGTTCCAGAGACCCCCACAGTAGGTGCATCCACAAAGTGACAGTGTTATACAGCCTCCCTTACTATATCATGGTTCACTTGTTGCTACTTCTCAGATTTTTCACCTATTGCGGGGAACTCTGGAATGTAGCTCCCATGATAGGTGAGGGAATCACTGTACTTGCTAGTATGAGAAATAAGTAATTCAATGTTTATTACTCTAATGGTTTTAAAACCACTTTTAGTAGCTTCAATAGAACAAAACAAAGACCATCATCAAAAACCAATCACTTCTGTAAGCTACTTAAGCACTGAGATTTCACTGGGCTGTTGGCAAAAAATGAATGCATTGTTCTTGTATTTAATAAGGCACTTGGTACTCGATTCCTTGCTTTCCAGGCTGCCTGCAGAGGTCACTGTGGTATAAAGTCTGCATGGCACAGGCCCATTCGGCTCATTTGATACTTTTTAATTTCTTTAACATTCTTGTCACAAAGGCAATGGAGATTTGAGATCTTAGCCCTGTTTCCCACATAATTTGGGTTTTTGAAAACATTTCTTCAAAGTTACACACACACACACACACCCAGAACCACAAAGACAAAGCCATTCACACACACACATACACACACACACACAGAACCACAAAGACAAAGCCATTGCTGGAACTTACATTCCAAAAACCACTTACCTCCTTGTACAATGGGCTCACAAGCATTTTGTAAGATGTTTTTGGCTTCCTGAAATACCTATTTCTACTCAGGTACTCATTTTCCTGTTGGTCTTTTTTCTGATCTTTTTAAACCAGTGGGTTTTTTTTGTTGTTTTCTTTTTCTTGCCAGTCGTGGGGCCTGAACCCTGGGCCTGGGCACTGTCCCTCAGCTCTTCAGCTCAAGGCTAGCACTCTATACCATTTGAGCCACTTCCAGCTTTTTCTGCTTATGTGGTACTGAGGAATTGAACCCAGGGCCTCAGGCATGCAAGGCAAGCACTATACCACTGAGCCACCTTCACAACCCCTAAACCAGTGGTTTGAGTTGATTTCCTCTTTGCTTTTTTAACCTATAATACCCTTGTTCATCCAGAGGTGGCATTTAAACCTTATTATTTTCCATTCCATTTCTATTTAATTTTCCTTCCACTGGCATACCTCCTAGCCCTTTTCTTTCTCATGCCTTATTTCTCTTGCAGTGGGAGCTTAAAAGAAGTCATGAAATCTAATTTGGGGCTCCTGTATGGGAGCCAGTTGTCTTGCCCAGAAGAGTAGACAATGAGCTCAACTTCTGTTTTGTTCCACACCACCTCGAGTATCATCAGCAGCTAAGAGATGATGCCTCATAGGTTGCACAGCACTGGAACTTTCCTAGAGCTCCCTGTCGGGATCTTCTGGCTCACTCTCTCATTCACTGAATATGATCTATGCCTCACAAAGCCCCAGTACACCTGTTTTGCAGAAAGGCCATTCACCTGGAAGTCCTACAGCACACAAGACATAGTTGTACCATCAGTAGATAAGAACTGAACTCAAAAGTAAGCTCTGATAATAAAATGAATGTATCAGAATGAAGCCACCTGAGGAAGAAAGGCAAGTTGGTACTCATGGTCTCCACCTGTCACACAGAGGCTTTGCTTCGGAATGGGGTTGATTTCTAAGGGAATGCAATGCCCACAATTACATTGCTTTGCTCCATTATTCTCTTAATACTGAACTCAATGGTTCTGTTACAGTAAGAACTCAAAAAGAATATTAGAATTGATTAAGACAAAAACTATGGCTGGGCACTTATGGCTCATGCCTATAGTTCTAGCTACCCAGGAGGCTAAGATCTGTTAAAGCCAGCTGGGCAGAAAAATCCAAGAGTTGTAACTCCAATTAACCACCCAAAAGCTGGAAGTGGAACATGGCTCAAGTGGTAGAGTGCTAGCCTTGAGCAAAAAAAGCTAAGAGACAATGTCCAGGCTCTGAATTCAGACCCCACTGGCAACTCTAACAAGGGGATGACACTAATGTTTAAAACACATCTTCAAGCTATCTCCTAAATAATTATATAAAGGTATTTTATATGAGCGCAACTCTACCTCTATAGTCTCTTGTACCCCAACAGTGAAGGCTGTTGAGAGGTATTGCCTCCAATCACCAAGAACAACTCTGGCATGCTAACCTTACCTGTGTGATCTGAACTTGGCCAGTGCCACTTCCCAATATGGTAACATGATTTTTAATATAAAGGTAGATTTTGTCATCACTTCTTCTAATACTGAAAGTATCTCACAAGTAACACCTGCAAAAATAGCAAATATTTTTAAATACAATCAGACTAATCAACTGAGAAATAGAAAAACAAAAATCAAACACGGTCAGGCAGATGGGCTAGGACAGTGCATCTCTGATGATGTTGATTTTTGGTGATGTTCTTTGAAAGACTACTTGACCCACAGTAATTGTAGTGGCCTCAGGGACCTTGAAAATTGGGGGACATGACTTAGGTAACAAGTAAAAGTAAGCTTCTTGTTTGACCAGCTAAACATCTTGACCAAGAGCAATAAAATACATTTTCAGAAGATATAGGCCCTTCACACTATTGGCATCTTTAAGTGAGTACAAACATACAAGAAGGGAGAAGACAGCACACGGGGGGGATAAATGTCCCCACGCCACTGTATATGTCAACACATCTGAGGAACAGACCAGTTCTGTCACAATCTTGAATCACACAGCTGAACTCTCAGTCACTGAATGAGCACTGGGAAGGGGTAGTGCTCCAAAAAACTTGTAAAGAGATCTTCAGAAGCTAATAGAGCCATCTTGCCACTGGAGAGTAAGTTCTTTATTATACCTCAAGAATTCAGATATTGACAGTATTTTCCAACACCTTCATGAAAACACATTAAGGGATGGGGTAAGGGAATATACTTGCCGGGAAAAACAATCAAATCCTCTAAATTTGTAAGGGTTACAAAGGGTCGATGTGCTAATGTGACTTCAGTCTGTTGAAGGAAATCTTTCAGTAGCTGACCCAGTCCTGCTATCAGCAGGAGTAGCATTGAACAGTATCTAGAAGAGATTGCCACAAACACCTTTAGAAGGAGGAACTCAGCCCATACATCTTAAAAACTTACTTTAATGTTTAATGTTTTAAATTAAGAAAGTAAAGTAGCATCATACTTCAGAGAATGCCCCTGAGAGAAAGCTTTTTTTGTGTGTATGCCAGCCCTAGGGCTTGAACTTGGAGCCTGGGTGTTGTCCTTGAGCTTTTTGCTCAAGGCTAGAGCTCTCCTAACTTGAACTACCACTGTACTTCTGGCTTTTTTGCTGGTTAACTGGAGATACGAGTCTCATGGACTTTTCTGCCAGGGCTGGCTTTGAACTACAATTCTCAGATCTCAGCCTCCTGAGGCAGCCCAGCTCAAGACGTAGAAGTTGATCCGTGCAGCCTAGGAAAATAATAGTCCTGAGTCTTCTACTGATCCAGGGCCTGGACATTTTTTATCATGCCTTTCTGGAGGCCTCTTGAGCGCTTTGAGTACAAGGTCTTGAAACCATACTCCATACACTCTTGTTCTCTGATATGATGTGGAACTTGACTTTTCCATCTCTCTCTCACACACACACACACACACACACACACACACACACACGCACACGTCTTTTAACAAATTCACCTTTCCCTGTTGTGAAAATCAAGAAAAAGTAAACGCTAAATACATCAAAAGAGAAAATTTCTTCACCTGCAACTTACTTGGGAGGGATTTCTTGAGGTGAGGCAAACCCATGCCATAAGATATTTCTCAGGTTGAGTCCATGGGGAGAACCAATGAAGACTTTCAGTACATCCATCTAACCCATCAAGACAGCACATCATTGAACAGTTATCATTATGGAACTGCTGGGCAAACCAGTACAAGACTAAGAATATTTTCTTCCTTCCTTAAACTAAGAGAGACAACAGTCTGGGTCTATATAGTTATAATAATAATATCAAGTGCCACACACATTTTGTATGACTCATCAGCTCATCCATCCTCAGCACAACTTTGAAGAAAGCAAGGGTCTTCTCCCCCACGTGCAGTACAGGCAGGGAAGGAGAACGGGCAAGGCTTCCATCCTAGGATGAGCCAACCCAGCTTGAAAACATCTATCACGGGCAATCAGTATCTGGGCAAAAAAGTACTGACAGAAAATCAGAACCAGACAGCATGTGCTTGTATGGTAAAAGGAAGAGGATGATAAAGCCACAGCCAAACCAACAGGGCAAGTCTTCTCCTCCTGGGGGTGCAGCTCTTTGCCTATCCACCTAAAACATCCAATAGTCACTGCAGGCGAGAGCACCACTCCTGCACTAGAAAGATGCAGGAGTATGTTAGATGCTCAGACTAAAAGAATTATACAAGGTCAGACACCAGTGGCTCACGCCTGTAATCCTATGTATGCAGGAGGCTAAGATCTGAGGATCCCAGCTCTAAGTCAGCCGGGCCAGGACTGTCCATAAGACTCTATCTCCAATTAAAAACAAAAAGCTGCAAGTGGAGCAGTGGCTCAAGTGGTAGAGCACTAGGCTTGATCACAAAACCTAAGGGACAGAGTCCAGGCCCAGAGTTCAAGCCTCAGGACCAGCATACACACACACAAAAGCATGATACAGGAAAAAGGAAGTTGCTCAGAGACTAAAACAATACAAAAACCATATAGCAAAAGAGAATCTTTGAGCCAAAAAAAAAAAAAACCAGTCCTCATTGAAGTAGAACTTGCTGTAGAAGCTAAAAGGTAAGCAAATGTTATCTCAGACAGCAAATCACAGATCAAAGAAACAGTGTTGAAGAACTCATCCCCTGCTCTCCAGAAAGAACAGGAGGATTTTTCTGAAGATAATACTCAATTCCAAGTGACAAATCCACTGCTCCCTGAAAGTTCTCTTCAATTTGAAGTCTCTTGGTCATGTGCCCTCTAGAAGGTTCTGAAAAAGTATGTAGTTCTGTATGATTTCTCAGCAGTATCTAGTTTTTTTTTCACTATAGTTTGAATGGATAGATGCAAAGAACAGAAAATTCCATATTTAAAACATTGACATTTTAGAATAAAATTCCATTATTATTCTTCGAAAGCAGGGATAGCAATTGTTTTTGCAGAGGGCCATTTGGATATTTATAACATCATTTATGAACCTTTCAAAATTACCAATATAGGCAGATGATTGTGGGCAGCCGATGAATCATACAAAACATACGTGTGTGTCCTGTCATGTACCAAAAGATTTTTGTGGGCCTTACATGGTCCTCAGGTGAACATTTCCCACCCTGTAAAGGGTTAAAATAACTATTCTATATTGAGTTAGTATTATCAACATAAACACCAATGAAAGCAATATGCTTCAAATAGTCCTCTTACATTACCCAAGAAGCCTATTACATGGGGAAAAGGTAACACTCTAAGGTAAAGGAAGAGGGAATGCTTGAATCTCTAAAATAATTCTTCCCTAGAGAAGCATCACTTGTCTGTTGTAACTTTCTGTATATTTCCACTGAACAAGCTTACCACAGAATGCCCAAAGACTTGAGCAAGTTCCTCAGATGCCAAGAGATCTCTTAAAAGAAATGGACACTTCTTCCCAATCAGCAAAAATACCTAAAATTCAAACAAAAATTGTATAAAAATTGTACAATTGTAGGATAATGAACACTAACCCTGCAGCTATTTGTACTTAGACAAACGTTTTATAATTTCCTAACTACTCAAAACAAGTATTACACACATATACCAAATTACTGTATTTTTTAGAAAGCAGTAATTAAAATATAGAAATCTGAGTTCCACATTCATCAGCCCACCCACAAATCCAGTGAGCAATTGTGAGAACTGTCACACTCACATCTCCCAAGGCTCGCTCGAGACATGAGGCTAACTTCATTACACTGAGACACACAGTGGGAGAGGGCAGGCTTTCCAAAGCATCAAATATTTCAGGAAACAACTGTTTAGAATAAGATATACAATATGCATTAGAACTCACACTTTCAACTTCTATATTTTGGCATAAGTATGTTTTCCATTTGAATATAATAATAACTAAAGAGTTACAAAAATACAATATCTAAGGATTCTTTATTTAAATGCCCACTGAATGTAACAAATCTAAAATAACTGTGAATTGAAAAGTATTTTTACCTACACTGTTTCCCATTGTTATTTATCTTATTCCCTCAAAACAGCTAAAACAGTTCACATAGTCCCTTAAAAGAGATAGTACAAATAGAAAACAATTCTTCCACTCTAAATTAGGAAGTTCAATCCATTTTAGGAAAAGACTTGTTACTGATACGGGATTATTGTCATTTAACGCGTTAAATGAAATGGAGAAAAATAGAAGACAAAACAGAGTTTTGGGCTGGACCAAGAAGTAACCACCCTTTCTACAAATCACTAAGAGATTAAGTACCCTCCCTGTGGTTTCTTAAGAACACTTCACTGTTCCTCCAGGAGCTCTGATTTTTGTCTTTTTGTTTTGTTTTTGCCCAGGATGAGCACCTCTGTATCAAGTACAACCTCACCAACTCTCAATTCTATGAGAACCAAAAGGGAAGGGTTTCTTAGCAGGGGTTCTGGAACCCTATATAACTCAGATTTGTCTTGAAACCCTCAACACTTCTTCAGTGGGATGGTGTCTTTAAAACTGACAAATAACAAGGGCACCTAACAGTATTTGCAAAGTTCTTCTACAACTGTTGAGAAGCCAAACCTCTGGAAAATGTGTCCACTGGAACCATGGTATATATTGAATTTCAAACTGCTCTTTGGTCAGGGTTAAGAAATGTAGATGGACAGCCTCACACACAGGGCCCAGCAGCCGCACACTTCCCCAGTAATCAAGATCTTGCCCTACAGGACGAGAAGGCAAGTTTCACTATCACAGTTCTGTATTATAGGAGAAAACAATGTCTGAATCATAAAATTGAGCTACAGTTTCCAGAAAACCAATAATTAGCTTATAAAATTGAATAGTAATGTATCATTAGAAATAACTCACATGATGCCTGCTGGTTTACAAAAACAAAGACATACTGTCAGTAGAGTGTCAGTAGAAAGGTTCAGGGCTGGGAAGGTGGCTCAGTGGTAGAGTGCTTGCCTTGCATGCATGAGGCCCTGGGTTCGATTCCTCAGCACCACATAAGCAGAAAAAGTCCAAAGTGGCGCTGTGACTCAAGTGGTAGAGCACTAGCCTTGAGCTGAAGAGCTAAGAGACAGCACCCAGGCTCAGAGTTCAAGCCTCATGACTGACCAAAAAAAAAAATTAATAAAAAAAAGGTTCAAGTATGAGAAAAACTATATTCGATGAAAAACTATATTCGATGTCATTATCTTTACACAAGTTTACGTGAATGCAGGCTCAAACTATGTACATCAGATCCACATATCTGTAGTTTGTTACCTATGGTCAACTGCAGTATTTATAATATTAAATGGAAAATTCCAGAAATAAATTCACATTTTGTCAGTCATGAGGCTTGAACTCAAAACCTGGGTGCTGTTTTGCTCAAGGCTAGCACTCAATTACTTTGAACCACAATGCCACTTCTGCTTTTCTGGTGCTTTATTGGAGATAGTGTCACAGACTTTCCTGCCAGGGCTGGCTTTGAACTGCTATCCTCAGATCTCAGTCTCCTAGGTAGCTAGAATTACAGGAGTGAGCCCCTGGTGCCCAGCAACAATTCATGTTTTAAATGGGGTACTGTTCTGAAGTCTCCTTTATTTACCAGTCTTATCTAAGGTGATGCGTCACCCCTGAAATCTACTTTATTTACCATACTGTCTTATCTAAGGTGATGTGTCTGTCACCTCTTGTATCCAGAGCATACACACTGCCCGGCCTTTAGTCACTTAAGCTATCTCACTTACTAAACTGTCACAGTATCAAAATGCCTGGGGCTAAGTAACACTTACTTTACTTAGTGATGCCCCTAAAGTGCAAGACAGTGATTCCCAGGAGTCACCAGGGCATAAACTATAAGCCTCATCAGCAGCACACAGGGAGTATAAGACACATCAGCTCTGGGGCTGTGCAGCACACAGGGAGTGTAAGACACATCAGCTCTGGCGCTGTGCAGCAGCACACAGGGAGTATAAGACATCAGCTCTGTGTATAAGGAAAACCATAGTGTAGGCTTCAGTATCATCAATACTGGGGAATCTCCGAACATAACTCCTCAAAGTATACAAATTACTGAATATGTTGCACCTTGGCTATTTTTAACATTTTAGATTGTGAGGTGTCTGATGACAATGAATTATTACGCCCTAAAAATCATTAGCATAATATGGATTTTTTTCTGTTCTAATTAAGTTTGGGGTATCCACATAGTCAATAATAAAAACCTGGACTGGGAAGGTGGCTCAGTGGTAAAGAACTTGCCTTGCATGCACGAGGCCCTCGGTTCGATTCCTCAGCACCACATATGCAGAAAAAGCTGGAAGTGGTGCTGTGGCTCAAGTGGTAGAGCGCTAGCCTTGAGCTGAGGGACAGCGCCCAGGCCCAGAGTTCAGGCTCCAGGACCGACAGAAAAAGAAAAGAAGATAGAAAATAATACTGTGTTGTCGCATCCTGTCATACAAAGCAATGGCTAGAAAAGGGCTGTTACAGTTCAGGACCTCTCAGGTGACCATGCTGAGTGAAATCTGGGGTGCTAAACAGTACAGACCTGGCTCCGCACAGCTCACGCAGCCCGTCACCGCTTCCCAGAGCACCTCGCCCTGGGGCGTGACGATGGTGTGGATATCGCAATTTCCTCCGACTTCGGACCCCACTTCACAAACCAGGTCGCGCACGGAGGGAGAAAGGCACGTGGTAACGGCTTCCGCTCTCAGCATCTGGAGCGGGGACACAAGCGAACCAAGGAGGACTCCGGCCACCGTCCAAGCGGCGGGGAGGGCGGGCGGGGGGCCGGCTTCCGGACGGCGGCCGCGCGGGGGCTTCCGCAGGCGTGTGCATTCCTCTCCCCTCTCCTCGGTGACTCCGAGGGGCGCGTTCGGGGCCCAAGGCGCCGCGCG